TTTTGTTGGCCTTCTTGTAGGTGGTTGGCCTTATAAGGTCTTCTATCCTCTGATGGGACTGCCATCTTAGGTGTAGCTTCCGGGGAAGAGCATTTCTTATTCAGCCGCTGGTTGCCAGTCAGACGCTTTTTGAATCGCACCTCCGTGGTGGACAGACGCTCGGAGGCGAAGCATTTCCTCTACCGCCGTGCTATGGTTACCGCGCCAGTCCATATTTCAGCTGGTAGTAGTTTGTAATCATATGACTCGTGCAGGCGTGAGGTAGGGATTTGTCAGGACCGGAGCTAGGAATCACTCTCCTTCCAGGTTTTTGTAGCCCAAACAACTCATTTTGTAGCCCACTGCAACTCTTGACAACTCTCGGATAGCGATATGTATTCCGCTTCTGTAGACGAAAGCGCCACACAAGCTTGTTTCTTTGCAGTCCAAGATATTGTTCCGTTAGCAAGTCGAAACATATAACCAAAGTTGGACTTTCGGTCGGTAATGTTTCCGGCCCAATCAGCATCCGCATAGCCTTCAAGATCTCCTTCTCCGCCAACGTACAGTTTCAAATCACAAGTACCTACCAAGTAACGAAGCACACGTTTTGCCTCTACCCAATGGCCAGCGGTGGGTTGGCTCACCTTCCTTCCCAGAATAGACGTGCTAATAGCAATGTCTGGTCGTGTATGTACAGCTAAGTAAAGCAAACCCCCAATGAAACTTTGAAATTTGTCATTCGTTGGTAGTCTACCGCTCTCCTCATTTTGCTGCATGTAACCTGTGTCCATCGGGATCTTGGACAGCTTAGCATCCTGCATACCGAAACGATCCGCCAATTTCCGAATGTACGCCTTCTGACTGAGGCAATACTGATCGTTCTTCTCCGCTACCTGTATTCCAACGAACTGTTGTACATCTCCTAGTTGGGTTAGGTCGAATTCGGCTCCCAAGCGCCTGAAAATCATCGTACTCCTGCTGACTTGAACTTGCGACCAACATGTCATCGACATAGAGCAATATGAATGTCGATTTCTGACCTCGATGACGCACATACAGACAGGGGTCTGCATCAGACGGCTTGAATCCCATTTGTCGTAGAATACTATTGATTTTCTGGTTCCACATCCTTGCCGATTGTCGAAGGCCGTATATGCTCTTCTTCAACAAGCAAACTGTATTACTCCTCGTAGATTTCACTCCAGGAGGCACTCGCATATAGATCTGCTCGTCTAGATCACCGTTGAGATACGCGGTCTTGACATCTATATGTTTCACATACCTCTTCTAGCTGCGATAGTAAGTAGTGTTCGAATGGTTACCTGCTGCGCAACGGGAGCAAATATTTCATCGAAATCCGTACCGTAGACTTGGGCAACGAGACGTGCTTTATAACGAATCACGTTCCCGTCCTCGTCATACTTGCGTTTGAACATCCAGCGGCATCCTACGATTTTCCTTCCAGGTGGTGCATCGGTTTCCTCCCAGGTTTGATTTTTCCGAAGCGATTCCAGGTCAAAGTTACTATGCCGCGACCGACGCATTTCGCCGTCCGGCAGCTCCTTCTGTTCCTCGTCTCCGCGGTAAAATGTACTTGCTTCAAATCCTTCGAAATCTTCTTCATCTGCATCTTCATACTCACCCAATACACTTCCATTTTCATCATCAATTTCAGGGCCAACTTCATTCTGCACCGTTAGTGGGAACTCAACGACACTACCTGATTCCTCCGAAGCCTGCTTTGTCGGACGGAAAATCTCCAACTGCTCCTACTTCAGAAATCTTACATCCCTGCTAATGACGACCTTGTCTGTTTTCAAATCAATCATTCGGTACCCCTTATGCTGCGAAGAGTACCCGATGAATGTCATCCGTACGGCCTTTGGTTCCAGCTTGGTGCATTTTTCCGAAGGAACTAGAACACACGCCTGCGAACCGACCACGTGAAGATCCTCCAAATCTGGCTTCTTCCTGAAAACGGTCTCGAAAGGAGTTTTATCTCTGACCCTTGTCGGAAGCATGTTCTGCAAATAGTTGGCAGTATTAACAGCTTCCGCCCAATATTTGTAGCCCATGTTGGCATCGAGCAGCATGCATCTGCCCATGTCAACAAGCGCCCAATTTTTGCGCTCCGATACACCGTTCTGCTGTGGTGTATTATACGCCGTAGTGAACTGCTGGAGTATTCCCTCTTGTGCACAGAACTCCTTAATCCGAGCGAAGCACCTTCGGTGGCCTTCCGAACTGCGTTTTGGCAATCCACACGCTTCGTTTGAAGCAATCTTCCGTCTCAGACTTTTTGCGAAGGAAAAAGATCCAGCTGTAGCGACTGAAATCATCTATAAATGATACGAAATAACGGCACCCTCCCGGCGTTGGAGTATTCATAGCTGTGGATGATATCAAGCACTGCGGTCGACTTTTGCACTGCCTGTTTGGGAAACGGAAGCCTCGCCATCTTCCCCTTCAAGCAGCACTCACAGACCGCACGGATACCACAAGGTTGGATACGGATACCGTTCGCTAATCCACTTCTCTCCATTTCCAGTATGGCCTATGGGTCACGGTTTCCCAGTCTTCGGTGCCATTCATGCATGCACAACGGGTTGTGGTGCAGTAAATACAAGCCACCGACAAGCACCTGAGTCAGCAAACCCTTGCTTTGTACGTTGGCCCTCAACGAGGCAAGAGATCCGGCACGTTCCTTCGCCTTCCATCGGACACTTGCGGCCGTCAGCCACCACCACAACACTGGCTGTTTCCAATCTTCTTTTCTTCACGGTTTCGAAAACGTCACTATTTGCACAAATGGGCCACGACGAACCAGAATCGAAAGACATGGCTTTGGGCAGCTGTCGTATTCCCGTTCCAGCTGCGCGTAAAAAGCGTATTTATCGTCATCGTCACTTGCTAAGTGAGGGCTGTGCACGTTGATTATGCGGACATTGAAGAAACGGCCTTTGATCCTCAACTTGCACATTCTGCTATCGATTGGTCACCACCCAATCACGCGCTTCTGCATTTCGCCCATTACGATGAAAGCTGTACCCAGCTCATGTGTATTGCCGCAGATCTGGTAGATGGTATAACCATCCCTATACGTATGTACCGACGATCCCTTACAGCAAACCTCCTGCAGCGCTACGATGTCGAACTTGCAATAAATCGGAAAGAATGCGGGTACTTCCCAACAAATTGAGAGACTTGCAGTTCCATGTTCCGAGTTTCAAATCGTTAGTCCGTTTCCGTTGCTTGGATCTATGCCGATTGTTCCGGTCCGTATTTCCATTGCTTGCTTTCTGTACTTTTGTTTTTTTACGGCTGGCTTGTAGGGCCTGCACCAATCCTTATTGTCTCGCCGGGGGATCATCGTGCACAGCACTGTTTAGAGTCCCACGCTGGTTGATCAGCCGCTTCCTAACATGGAGATTAGACGCCGTTTTGAGCCGCACCTCCATGGTGAACAGACACTCGAAGACTGCACTCTCCGGAGAGAGGAGTTCCCCCCTTCCCTGTCAGCATACGACCAAGGTCCCACCGGGGTTGGTTACCCGATCTTCCCTATGGTTACTCGTACCCCAGCCGGCACCGCGGGGAGGTAGGGATAGGAGTTACTGGACAAGAGGCTAAGGACCGCTACTGGGGTCTATTTTATACCTGCAAATAGGCGAAGTATCAATGGTACGCATTGTCCAGCCGTTCACCAGCCACATATTTTTGAATCATCTTCAAATTCACGGAACAAAATTCCTTTCGACATTGTCTCCGATGTAAGAGCAACTTCGCGTAGTTTGGGAGCCAATCCGACTTTGTAAGAGATGAAGCTCATACGGTTGATGTCGGATCCTTTTTTAACTATTGATTCCGATTTCACACTAGGATCTTACTTCATGGGTACATTTCTACAATGACCCGAGAGATCCACCCCATAAAAAAAAGTTTGATAGTTAAAGTTCCCCAAACTTACCTTGCAAAACATCAGAAAACTCAAAATTCCATTGGCATTTCGTTAAGATACGGCTGTTCAATAAATTAACGTAAAATAATCAAATAACCGTCCAATATTTCCATCAAGCTGCTGGGAACTTTGATATCTTTGAGTTTTTTTCTAAATACATATCAGTTACGTAAATCGGACGTGAAGATTTTTTAGAGCTTAGAAAAACAAGCATGCTAAACTAATTAAGTATCGTATGTATCAAAACTTTCCAAAGAGCCCTATCCTATTTGATTAAATGCCGTCTGATCGGGTTGCGTATAATATCTAAGGACAATTTACAAATATTCTTATCTAGTGAACTTCATTTGCGTTACGTACTGTTGAAATGAAGAATGTGATAACTCTCCATACACAATCACTGCGTAAATTACACATCCAACAATCCACATCTAATATTCTTAGAAAAACTTTTCCCATCCAAAAAACGTGTGGCTAACCGAAAAAGTTGCCCAACATCTAATTCCCATTTCCCCTTATTACCTTTCATGATCGTTTTCCGTAAGCCATCACATATTAATTAAATTTCTGTTTATGAACACCCCCTCGTAGTCGCCTACACATCAAACCAAGCCTTTCATCTGCTATTCGTTTCGTTCTGATTGGCTTTTCGTGTACATCTAGATTCAGAATCTACCCTGTGTTTGGGCAAAACGAAGTTGTTATTAATGCATTTATCATTTGTTTTACATCCATCTACAAACACACACACACACTCAATAGCCACAACTGAGCTAGAGAGCAATCTAATTGGCAATGACATTCCATTGAAGTACATACAATTGCTTTATAGCTGATGCGACCTGTTATACCTACCTGTGTACATATACAGTTTGTGTCGAGTTTCAACATTACTGGTAGAGCTTTCGTTGTTACACGTGTAATAGTAATTAGTTCATATCGTATTCAATCATCCCAATTTACTGAAGCTTCTTCTTGTCTTTTTTTTTTTCTTTCGTCTGTCGTCAACCATTCTCCTCCGCTTCTAATCGAAACTTTGGTCTGTTTTGCGTTACTCCAGGAGGTAGTCCTTCCCAAGGATCAGGGTTCCCTCGGTTTCAGCATCATCGGCGGTACGGATCATTCGTGCACGCCATTCGGGGCCCACGAGCCCGGTATCTTTATCTCACATGTAAGTCCTCTAATTACTGTTACAATGCGTGCATTCTAATAAGTCTCATTGTCATCGCAGATCGTTCCCGGTGGCATTGCGGCCTTGTCCGGTAAGCTGCGGATGGGTGACCGTATCCTCAAGGTCAACGGTACGGACGTTACGAGTGCAACGCATCAGGAAGCGGTCATGGAACTGCTGAGGCCGTGCGACGAGATCAAACTGACGGTTCAGCACGATCCGCTGCCCGCCGGGTTCCAGGTAAGAACTACTGCCCCTCAAGGATAGGCATTCTGAACAGCACATATTTACCGGCTCGCAGCAGCAACAGCAGCAGCATCAACAGCGCACGTTGTTTTGCGTGCGAATTTCTTAGCTTTCCTCAAACCTAGCTATAGAAACGCTAGCAGTTGTACACTATCTAATCACACTAAACAAAACTAGTTTCTTGTTAGAAGGGATTCTCACCGCCGTCCACAACACACTTTCACACAACACACATTTTTGCTTAGGAACCAAATGCTAGTTTAGACTTGCTCGCTCTCGCTCTCTAACGGATATTACTGCTTTGTTCCTTTGTTTCTCTCATTCACCGTTTCAATTAAACCAAAACAAAACAAAAATGCCATTCAAAATTTCAAAACAAACATCCAACTTATCATCTGCACATCCGTCAGCATTTCGAAATTGTTAGCTTGCAAACAGAGGTATGTAATAGTGGTTTCCCCTCGTTCTCTTTAAATGTGACCTGTCGATTACCCTAAATTCCGCGTAGATTTTGTAATTTCCTGAGTTTTGTTCTATTTCCCATTAGATCACTGTTGTGCAAATATAGCGAAGTCATGCGTGTGGATTTTCATTTTTTTTATTGGGTTCAAACAATCAACACATGAAGCACTTGTTTTCATTGCCGTCGTGGAATTTTTCTTTCTCATTCATTCACATTCCGGGCTGCCATGCAGTGACAGATAAATTGTTTTCCCCATTTTGTTGTTTAGAGTAAAACCCATTCCCCAACTTTTGATTTCATCTTTGATTTGTATGGATGTCGTCCCTATCCAATGGAACCGTAGTGCACCACAACAGCTTAGCACATACAAGCAATTCACACAGTGCACTAACAATTGTCTTTATATCCAACAGGAGGTGGAAATCGTCAAGCAGGAAGGCGAACGGCTCGGCATGCATATCAAGGGCGGTCTGAATGGGCAGCGGGGTAATCCGGTGGATCAGGCCGACGAGGGTGTGTTCATATCGAAAATCAACAGCTCCGGAGCGGCGAAGCGGGACGGCCGGTTACGGGTCGGCCAGCGGATCTTGGAGGTCAACGGTATCTCGCTGCTCGGAGCCACCCATCAGGAGGCGGTGAATTCGCTCCGTGCCTCCGGTCACGCGCTGCACTTGGTTGTCTGTAAGGGCTACGAGAAGGGTGATTTACAGAACCAGACAATCGGTGGTACCGGTGGTATGGGTACTGGAATAAGCAATAACGGTCATAGCACTAGGATAGGTGAGTTTGTAGAATGAGCCATCACGTGTGGAACTCTTGAACAGTCAGTATCTTCTTTCCGTTGGAATGTAGGATCTCGAGCTTCAGAAACTGGCTCCGAGTTGAGTCAGAGCGTATCGAGCTTAGATAGGGACGATTCAATCATTGCTGCCGAACCCCTGCGTAAGGTTAGTGTAGATAGGGTACCGGACCAGAGGGACACGTTTGCGGCGGATGTGGCGCCTGTAGCTATTCCGCAGCAAGCACAACCCCCAACGCAACCTCCCACGACGACGGTAGCGACGGTTAGCCCTCAAACGTTGAGTAGGGTTGCGGCTCCGAATGCGGATTCCCAAGCTCTGGTTAGTGCACGGGCAAAGAGCACCCCGGAAAAGGTAACCCATTCGAAACGCGAGCGCGAGAGCGATACTTATCTCATGATATTCTCTTCCAACAGGTCTTGGACATTGTCCGGGCGGCAGAATCCCTCGCACTGGGTGGCAATTTCATGGAGAATGGTCCACCCAAGTCACCAACGGAGCCCCCGACGGCAGAAACCCTCCAGAAGACCACCACCATCGTGATGTCGAAGCACACCCTGGACACGCAGGCTCCACAGGTGAGTGTTCGCATTTTCGGCTCAAGAACTACAGCCACCTACATACCTCTACATGAGCATCCGCTTTGGGGACCCTAATTCGGGATTATTCCTACACACATACACACACACACACATCCTCCGCAAAAAATGTGTTTGTGTTTCTATTGTTTAAATCATTTACCATTGGTGTGATTAAACTAAAACATACATCTGTGAAATCGGAATCAAACCGCCGAGAATCGTTTCGACGTTTGTTCCGATTGTAGTCAGCTTTTGTGTTGCGCTTTGCTTTTGATCATTGTATGTACGTCACCCGAATTTGTTCCGTTTTATTTTTTTATTTTTAATAATTTGATTCCTCAACTGTTCTGAAATTTCCGAAACACGGTCCACGTCAGAATTAACTCTGCTTGTTTTGTTTGCTTTGGTTGGTACGACTCTTCTGCGTTGAATTTTGTCTTTTGATAAACCATACTAACCCCATCAGCCCAAATTATCGACTGCTATTCTGTGATTTACCGATAACGACTACCAGCGATGAACAGCTGTTTTCATCTGTTCTCTTTTTTCTCCATTCTGGTGTTTTCTCTTTTGTCTTTTTGTCTCTCCCTTTTTCAAACACACACAAACACACACACACTCAAGACCCATTCGCAGACATCGACCAAAAATCTTCCATAACACTAACCATAGGACAAACAGAAGACTGAGATATTATTGTAGTTAAATGAAGAAAAAAAATAGAAGAAAACTTCGAGACAAACAAATTAAAAAGAAAACGGGTGTACAACACCGCTTCTTCCGCGTTGGTTGGCGACGAAAAGAAAATACAGATCTAAGTTGTTGTTGGAAAGAAGCTGCGCACTACTGACACACAGGAATTTGAGGAAGCTCTAAGCGGTGATGTAGGACAATTTTGCTACAAATTTAGGCGAATTTAAAATTAAATAACTATAGAAGGAGATGGTAGTTAGTTAGTGGGTAGGACGACGGCCAGTCGCGCAGCGATCGGACTGGGTTCTCTCTATTTTGCTGTGTATTTATCAATCGAATCAATCAAAACGATGTAACCACCACCAACCACCACCACCACCACCACAACTAGAGACAGAAGCCAATAGAACCATAAGACTACTTTTAAGATACTGGTTTTCGTGTCCCATCCATCAAGGCGGGCGTTGCTAACCTTGTCGGCGACGAGCTGTGAGATAATCGACGATTAAATGGGATGGTTAAAATTTTTGAAGAAGATCATATCGCATTTCGTCAAAATTTTGCTATATAAGGGAAATGGCTCTAATGTTGGCTTATGGATCTAAAAATGGGCCCATCGCTAAAAATCTGCTATTAATCAATTTTATCTAGATGAACGCGTCATTGGAACTGTTCCGCCTACCGCCGAAAGAGAGGAGAAAACGTCGACCAATCAGCAACGAGCAAACGGTCGGTGCCGTTCTATAAAAATCCCCGCAGTAGCGTGCTTAAGTTAAGTTTGAATCCAACCGAGCATCCGTTCAGGCAGCAGCAGCAGCTTTCACCTTGTATCGAGAAACGAAGAGAAATAAACAGTAGTGTCTAGTGTAGTCGGCAGCATTCGTCATTTCTACTGCATGTCCATTGGTGTCCCGGAGAGCAGCGTCAAACCCCCCAGCTCTTTTCAGAGCTCCTGAGTTTAGAACTTCGATTGACGCTAGCCAACTCCGTTCGCTCCCACCCAGTACAGTCCACTTGACAAAACCACAGTCTACTTGACAAAATCAGTTCAGAAGGAACAGGAACTGTACTAATGCATCCCTGCATCGAGAATAGACATCACCAAATGCACGATCCCTGAAGGGGTAATCCTAGCTGATCCCAAGTTCCACAGTCCGGATAAGGTGGACTTGCTGATCGGTGGGGAGTTATTCTTCGATATCCTGAAACCTGATCAGCTGAGGCTAGCCGAAGGTCTTACACAATTGCGAGACACTTATCTGGGGTGGATCGTAGCAGGTGCCATCAATGATCAGCTCGTGTCAAACGTGTCGCTCCAATCCAACATAGCCGTTGAAGACATTGAGCACAGGATGCACCGTTTCTGGCAAGTCGAGGAGGTGCCGGACGTTCCCAAGCTGTCGACCGAGGAAGCAGCATGCGAAGCCCACTTCCTTTCCACCTACCAACGTGACGAAACTGGAAGATTCATCGTGAAACTGCCGTTCAAGGACAATCTTCTCCAATTGGATAACTGTCGCAGTCTAGCTTTGAAAAGATTCCTGATGTTGGAGAAGCGATTAATCCGCAATCCCGAGCTGCAGGCTCAGTACGTGAACTTCATCCGGGAGTACGAAGCTCTCGGACACTGCACCGAGATCTGAAGAACCACCCAACAAGCAAACCTACTATTTGCCGTATCATGCAGTGTTACGTCAGTCCAGCTCGAGCACGAAATGTCGAGTCGTATTCGACGCAAGTGCAAAGTTGTCGCCATCGGAACTCTCCCTGAACGATGTACTGCAAGTTGGTTCAGTAGTACATAACGATCTGCACCATATCGCGCTACGGTTCCGAAAATTCAAGGTTGCCATCACCGGAGACATCTCTAAAATGTACCGTCAAATACTCAAAGCCCTGTTGGATTGTAGTTTCCTTCGAATCTTTTGGAGAGAGCACCCATCGTTACCCCTAGGAGTCCTGGAACTCTGTACCGTTACGTACGGTACGGCATCGGCACCATATCAAGCAACCAGGTGTTTGCTGAAACTCGTCGAAGAGGATGGTGAGGACCTTCCTGTCGCCGCTCGTATTGTGAAAGAAGAAACGTACATGGACGATGTACTCTCCGGTGCAGACTCGGTGGAGCACGCTATCAAGGCTCAACAACAGCTGAAGCAGCTCCTTGGACAAGGAGGTTTCCCCATACACAAGTGGTGCTCAAATTCACCGGAATTCCTAGAGCATATTCCCGTGGAGGATCAAGAAAAAAAGGATCACGTTGGAAGAGCATGGAGTGAATGAAGCCATCAAGGTGCTTGGTTTACTCTGGGATCCCTCTGCAGACTCGATACTCATAGCCAGACTTGGTAAAAACACCGCTCGGTGCGGCTCGGTGGCAACCTACTCATGTATGCACAGCACTGGGTTTCTTCGATAAAGCACGCGGTGTCGGTGCAACATGTTAGCACGCCACCGAACCAAAAGAGAAACCCGAACTCGGTGCTACGGGCTTCGGCTCGCCACCGTGCGGCACGGAGCCAACGAACCGCTCATGATTTCGTATCGTTCGTTGTAGGTGTTGCGCTATGGTCCCATTTGCGTTTTTGTCAAAACTGAGTTTTTCAATGGAAGTGGTTGCAAGTAGCTCATAGTTTCATTATACTCGATGAACTCAAGAAATTTGTTCTGAAATAGTTTAAAAAAATGGGCAAGCAGGTTTTCCCTTTACATAAGAATCCATGGTGCGAAGCAAACTTAAAACGCGTTCTTAATTGCGTCTGTCATTTCTCTCGACAGGAACAGGGTCCGTTCGGATTGTCCACGGTCCACGGCAATTGGCGTTGACGGCACTGTCGAAAAGTCGTCTTTTTTAGAAAAGATTGACAGTTTCTTATAGAATTTTTCGGTGGAGTGAAAGGATAGTACGAAGTCCACCATGTTTCACGCACAGTCTGACGTTTGCTTATAAATTTTACCATAGGAGTAAAGAGCTACAGAGTCACCGTCAATCATGCTTGGCATACACAGTTTTACACACCAACTGCTCATTTGTTAATAACTTTGTACTCAGTAGTTGAAATTTGTTTTTCTTTAAAGTAATTGATAGATTAGGATCATAGCTTACAATAGATATGGAAAAAGTAGATAAATCCTAACATTTGAATCAACACCAATGATTTTTTACTCTTAAAGTCCGAGATGTGCAGCGAGCATTTCTCACTTCATTTTTACAACGCAAAAACAAATACAGTTTATTACTAGAGTTAAAATCTACTTTGTTTTATGTATCTATAACAAGCTTAAACTCTATTCTATCTACTGCTTCAAAAAGAACTATGTTTCGTCAACTCTGTGTAAAGTTATTAACAAATGAGCAGTTGGTGTGTACAACTGTGTATGCCAAGCATGCCGTCAACGCCAATTGTCCACGGTCCATACAAATTTTAAAATTTCAGGGGGGTCAAGAATCCCAAAAAACTGTATACGTAGTTAATGAACAGCCCCTTTGAGATTTTTCATTTGAGCGACAGAGTACGGAACAGCCCGCCATGCTTCACGCACATAATGACAGTTGTTTGTGGGGTTTTCTCATAGGAGTAAAGAGGTACAGTATCGCCGGAAAGGTCAATCAGAAAAGGAACGAAAAAAAATAGTAGACTGCGATAGTGGAAAAAAAGAAGAAGAAGCACTGCATTCTGTCTGGCACCGGACCCTGGCACGGAGCCGCACGGAGCGCACCGAATAACCATAGCACGGCACCAAGCCGAATAAAACGGCTCCGCGTTCAGGTTTCTTGTTCGTATCGGTGGCGAGCCGACAAGAGGTACCGAAACCGAGTGCGTGTTAGCTTTGAACGGGGAGCAATATTTTTGCACGGCTCGCAGTGCCGGTGCGTGTTTTCCCAAGTCTGCTCATAGCCTATCGTCCAAACCCAACATTGCATCCGCAACGGCCCACGAAAACAACGATGTAATCCGAGATCGCCAAGCTTTTTGACCCCCTGGGACTGGTTTCACCGGTCATTGTTTTGGCGAAGCTTCTAGCGCAGAAATTGTGGCAGCTTAAGTCCGGGTGGGACGACCCGGTTGACGAAGACATCGCACAGCAGTGGCGACAACTCCAAGATGTCGCATCTTCACGAGATCGAGATCCCAAGGCGCGTGACGATGAACAACGTGGTCGCCTACGAGCTGCACGGCTTCTCTGATGCCTCCAACAAGGCTTATGGAGCCTGCATCTTTTTGCGAAGTATTTTTGGCGATGGCTCGGCGAAGCTTCGTCTCCTCACCAGCAAATCGAAACTGGCTCCCCTAAAAGAGCTG